CGATTTTCCCTCTTCTCTCTTTCCCATTCGATCGAAGGGGGTTGCTTTCTCGGCCAGAGAGAGAGAGAGAACGAAGATTCCTCCCCTAGCTAATGGCTTTAAGAGAAGCACGGCTCGGTACGATGCCACGTAGATTGTTAGGTTCCTCTTTATAGCTCGCCCGACGCGGATAATTCAACAGCGTGGAAAGGAAAGAAGGTTTCGAAATAAAATTTCGAGCGAAACTGGGACGAGACGGTGGTGAAACGTGCAAAGGTAGCGAACAAGGGAAATTTCTTACGTACTTGAACCGAGCGATCCTCCCCCAAACCGTACACCGTTGACCGTGCACGATACTCGAAATACTTGGCAAGTTGATAAGAACTCACGGATACAACTTTAGAGCATCGCCTCGAAACATTCCACGAGCGCGAGACAATTTTCGAAACTCCCTACAAATTTCTCGCCTTCCGCTTTACGCGACTCCACTCATCACGCCTTCCCTTTCTCTCTTCTTTCTTCTTGTATTCGAGCGAGAACACAACGAATTAACTGCCGCCAGCCTTTTCCTTCTTGCAAATCCTTCTTCTTCTTCCCGACTCGAGCCGAGCGCAAACGAGCGACTTCTCGATTCCCGTCGAAACGTTGTTTCAATTTTATCGCTAAATTTGAAAGGGTGGAAACATCTTCTCTTTCCCCCTTTCCCTCCACACCCTAAGATCGATTCTTTCGCAAAAGATTACGTGGTATTAAAACGCTGTGAGCAACAGCATTGTCCCGGTAGCTCGATATTTTTCTCGGCTCAAGATAAAACTGCAATACAACGCCTGTATTCGGCGAAATCCTACTTATCGAAGTAATCAGCGCGAAGCCATTCGAGAGCAGCTAACGGAAAGGTTCTCGTTGCTTTCTTATCTCGACCACTGGTTTCAGAAAGCCAATTGCGAAAAAGGAGAATAGCGAGGAGGCGACCGACGTTGTTTTCCTTGTTTCTATTTTATTTTTTCTATTTTATTCTTCTTCTCTTATTTTTTCTCGCGACGGAATATAATCGGCGAAACCATCGAAACCAAGTATTTCTCGACATTCCCCCCTTCCTTGAACGTTATCATTCGAGTGACAAATCTAAAAAAAAATAAAAAAAAAACGCACGTGATTTTCGCGTCGCTTTCGTATCTTCGATTGTTTCGCGACACTGTATCCCTTAAATAAAATGAAACGTGGATTCAAACGCGTGGAACACGACACGTTACGAAGACATCATTTTTCATAGCGGGCTACAAAATGTATTCGTTATATAATATATATATATTCTCGTAATTGCGGCAAACTCCGACAATGATTGGTGGAAGCACATTGTTAACGATACGTGGGAACGATACTATCCAAAAGATAAAAAAAAGGAGGGGGGATGATGGATTAAACTCCTCTGTCTGTTCGAATATTCCATATCGGACGTTCGTCGCTACGAATGACGAGAGAGGAGAAGAAATCGAACGCGAAACGGGGGCCGGCTTGTCAGCCAGCTACCATAATTATCATCGCACCTGCATTTATTATCCGTTGGTTGGTTGACTAATGGGCTCTTTTTTTACACCGATCCTCCAAGGAAACTCCATCCAACTACGGATAAATCGTCGGTGAAAGGGATGACGAATTATCGAGAATTAATTCAGCGGGGCCAGTGATGCGTCACCTCGGCCGCTCGACGCAGGTTCGGGGGAGGGGGATGGAGATCGGGGAGAAAAAATATGGCGAAAGCGAAGTTTAATGGCTCGCGTACCACGGCCACCATCCAGATAATGCGTACGCATAAACGAATGAAAAAAAATGGTTGATTCGGTCGGAGGTGAAGAGAAGAATTTCCTCCGGATGGGAAGAGAAATGACGCTCTCGGTTTTCTTCCCTTCCTTTTTCTTCCTTCTCCCTTTCCTCTTCTTCTTTTCCCTATGATTTTTTTTTTTTTTTTTTTTTTTTTTACGAGTTTAAAAATACGAGGTAAAAGTGAACTAGCGCGTGGGAAGAAGGGATTAACGATAATTTACAGGAAGAGGGTGATAATGATAATATAGGGATTTCGTTTCGATCGAGAGCGGTGGGAAGGAAAAAGAAAAAACAGGGAGAAAACGCCTCCCCCTCTTCCTCTCCGTCCAACCATTTCTCTTCCGTCCAATCGACGACGATAAAGATATAAATGATTCCCCACTAAAAGTTTATTTCATCGGGGGTATACGTTTAAGAATCTTGCTTCCATCCCCCTTAAGCCACTCCCTGACAGCCAACGCTTCTTCTTTATCATTTCCCCCTCCCCTCCCCCCTTTATTATTTCTAATTACGTCCGCGAGCCCCGCTTTTAAATAAAAGCACAAGGCTCGTTTCGTTCGCCTGCGAGGAGGGCCCGAAAGCCCTTAAGGTGAACATAAATTACCGTTCCCGGTAAAGAACAATTCCCAGAAAATTAATTTAACCGCAATATATTTGCGGCTTAGATTCACCCCTGGGAGCAGCCGAGGGATGGGAGAGGGGGGAGTGGAAACAAGGTTACGTAATATCTGCCACGGTTTGTTTAACTTCTCCCTCCGTCCCCCTCCTCCCCGATCGATTCTCCCGGCTTTCTTATTGTCCACGCCACGGAATTACAGCAAGAAAATCGCGCGGAAATAATTACTCCGACTCCGACTCCGCCATTAATGCGAAAGCCTTAGGAGGAAGAACGAAAACGAGTAAACGGGGAGAACTCGTTCCCAACCCCCTTACCCTCCAACTTCCTATCCCGCTACACGTTCGACGCAAATATTACCCGCCGCTAATCGCGCCATCTCAGCCGTTAAAAGCTTCGCCAACTTTCCCCCCCCCCCTCCCTAACTTCGGCCAGGTGATCCTTTTAGGTATCCGAAAGACGTGGCCGGTTTACGCGCGTAAGGGGAACACTCGTTTCTCGATGATTAAAATTACTTTCGATGAATTTTTTCTAGTTCTTGTTTCTTCTCGACGAGATAAAAATCTCGTCGTCTCGGGGGTGAAAATCTTGATCGATCGATTCGAAATATTCGTTGGTATAAATAATTCGAGAGTAACACGGAAATATATATGTGGATCCTGTGTGATCTGTTCCATCTAGTGATAAAACGGCGGCACGTGTCGCGCAGGACGTGATTTCATTCGATGATCGTGCTTTATCTGACGCGACGCGATTTCATAAATCCACCCTCGTTCGTTTCGATCGCCGATTCGTTTCACGGGTTGAACATTTCTTCAATTTGTTCGCTCGTCGGATCGAAATAATAATTGCCGCGTTCACTTGGCGGAACTCAACTTGCGGTGGGAATTACTCGTAAACGATCCTCTCTTAATCCAAACCGGCACGCGTGGAATATCTTTTCTCTCGCACGTTTTCCCCAAGTGGCCTCGTAACCGTGTAATATCTCGGCCAGAAATATGTGTATACTCGTTCTCTCCACCGAGGGAGAGGGGCATAAATTCGTGGAGAAGCCGCGTAAACGCGCGATAAACGACGGCATGGCGGAGGTAACGTTGCTCGTTTAATCAAAGAGAGATCGAGGATCTAGCTACGTTCCGTTGGAAAGACGGGGGAAAAAGGGGAAGAAGAAGAAAGGAGGGACGACTTTTCTCTCCTTTCTCTCCTTTCGACCGAAAATGAAAAAGTTCTTTCGCCCGGCAACGACGTTTACGATTCCTTCCAATAAAGTCGCGTTCCGAGTCGATTCTCTCGCTCTTTACATTCGGTCCGTTGCACGGCCCGAAGAAATCGAATTACCTCGAACAGCTTTGCCCTCTTTCCGTATCCGAAACGCACCGAGCCTCCTCCGCACGCTTTTCTCGTTTTCTTTTTTTTTTTTATCTCTCTCTCTTCTTCGAGCAGGTAACGATTCCAGAGATTTCTCAGAAAGTAGAAGGTGCAACCTTCGAGAAAAGGACTTAACGAAACGAGAGTTAGAGCAATGGACACCGAGATAACTAGATTTCAGCTAACTCGGGTGACGACGAAATCGCGAGACGACGAGACGAAAACGAGCGTGCTTATTACGATATCGTTTATTAAGTATGCTTAAGAAGACAGTAATGCCAATCCTGCGACAAATTCGGGAAAGAATAACGTTGTTTCATTTTTGCTATTATAATTAATAAATAGTCTTTTTCTTTTTAATATCATCGCTGAAAGCAGCGACACCTATCTCCAAACACATTCGTCGATTCGTCTGTCGCGAGGAGAGGAATCCTTTACAACGTTTTAATCGCTCTCCACCACGAGTCGCGCGATGTCTCTACAAATATTTGCCAGATCCGCTATGGCGAAAATTAATCGCGCAATTTCACCGATCGTGCAAACAAGCGGGCGCGATCGACATTTTCGAGGCGAAAAGGAATGGAACCGGCTCGTTAAATATTCATGGGAGCGGCAAGGAATGGATGCTCCTCCGTTTATCCCATTAAATAATGAGATATATAAATTAAATTCGGTGCACGCGTCGTTTCCTCCGTTTCCGGTCCAACGCATCCGGATGCGTACATTCCATTCGTCTCTCGAAACCGATCGAGAGAACAGGAAGGAAAAGTGAAACAAAGTACTGGGAACTTTCGATCGATAATAATTACGCGCAAGTCGAATTTAAAGGAGGAAATAACGTTGGCGCGTAGATTACGAGTTTCCTACGCAATTTCGATCGCTCGTAAAACCGTGGTCGATTATACAATTCCGTATCGATTCTATCCATCGATTTCGACTCATCGGGGACCACCGCTCGGTTCCTTCGAGTTTTATTCGGAAACGGCTCGATACGGGACGTGGAACGTTTACGAATGAAATCGAACGGAGAGCGATCCGGTCGCGGTTCGCCGCGTATTATGACGACGATTAAAATATTGGGCCTCGTCGTAAACGACACTGGTGCTTAGCACGGAAGAAAGTACCGATTGCCAATTGCCCCCTATAAAAGTACCTTGTCACGGAGACCCGTTATCCAGTTGTTCTCGGCCTGTACACCCGAAATATCGGCGAAATGGCGACGTTGGTAAGTCTCGTCGAATTCGAATCCACGAGTGGTCAAAGAGGCAATAACGCTGTACATCGTCGACACCAATCGATCGTTTTCCAACTAAGTTGATCAGCGAGTTGATCGTTTGCATTTCAAAGGGAATGATACGAAGATGAGCGTCAGCACTCGGGCGTAAAGGAGAAATTAAAACGGGCGTCGAGACAAAGGGACGAAAGTAGCCGTTAAATGAAACGATACGTTGCTCGGTCTAAATCTCTGACTCTCTCTCTCGAACGTGGCTCGAAACTTATCCCAAAATGCAGCGTTCGAAGTTAAATTTACTTTAAAGATAGATTCGACTAAATCGCGACCGCGAATGTAAATGAACGTTTTAACGAATGTAACGTTCGTGTTTGGAATTCCCGTTTACCGGCCGGAAAAATAAAAATCTCTGATTGTAGCACACATTCGTCCCCGTCGATGTCGGTCACGCATCGCGCGAAATAAAGCCGAGCAAACCGTTAATTTAAAATTCCTCGCCGCGCAACGATGGGGAGGGGGAAGGAATTCATCGCGTAAATCATCGTCGACGAAATTCATTCGTTGATCATTCGTTGATGAAAAATGGTGCAAGAAAACGCGCCGCTTCCCGATCGTTCCGTAGCTGACTTCGCTAATTCAACGCGCCCGAACCAAGATTCAATTTCGTAGCCGCGTATCTATCTCTTGGCCGCTGCCTTCGACCTCGCTACCTTAAACTTCCGCTTCTTCTCGGCCGTGCAAAGGGAGGGGAGGGGGGATCTCGCGACAAGAAATGGCGGAGCGGCGATAAAACGAGCCGGCGACGATTTAGTGGATATTATCTCCGGTTTTTCCGCTCGGCCGTGCTCCGCGTTTCGCACGTGCGCCATTGCAAGCCAAAATGGCCCGCGCCGACGTTGTTTTATTGTTTCGGTTACCCGAGCTAAATGTTACCCGCTACAGCGCTACGCCATCGTATCATAATGAACTCGCTTGCGGCTAAACGATTTTCGAAAATTAGCAATCATCCCTTCCCTCCAATCCGCCATGTTTGCGTCCCACGTTACGTGTACACAGATAGACGGGATTTGTAAACAAAATTTCCGATCTAGTTTTTACCATTTTTCCATTATTTTTTTCAACTTTCTCTCTGTTTCTCTCCGTCCTTAGGCGTGGCTTCTAGCGGCAGCTCTGCTATTGACAGCGGTGGCTGGCCGAAATTTAAAACCACCACCGGAAGAGGATCGGACGAAGCTGTCGGATCCCATCAGGGCTCCGCGACAAGTGGAATCCCGCGTCCCTGCGTTGCTGCGCGACGATTCCCAGATCCCGCAGATTTCCAACATCAACGCTCGCAAATATCCGCGAAAACGGCAATTGCCCGTTTCGATCGGGGCCAATTTCCAGTCGTTCGCGTTAAACGGCCAACCTCGCGCCCCGTTGCGCACAGCCACCTTCGATCCCACCACCAACACCACCACCATCGTAACTCGGATCAACGAGGTCGCGAAGCGGATCGAGCCCCGAATCTCGTCCGGATCGTCTCACGTCGTCTTCGCAACGCCTCGGAGGAGCCTCGGTTTCGAGCATTCGTTCCACCACGACCACCACGGCCATCGTCATTCCCATAGTCACGGCCATCACTCGCACCACTCGCATCGGGCCAAGCACGAGCACGAGCACGGTCACAAGCATCACGGCGAGCACGAGCACAAGCATCGCGAGGAGCACAAGCATCACCACGGCCACGAGCACAAGCACGAGCACAAACACGGGCACGAGCACAAGCATCACGGGGAACACCAGCACCACCACGGGCATCAGCATCACTCGAAGCACGAGCACCACGAGGAGCACAAGCACCACGCCGAGCATCACCACCATCACAAGCATCATCATCACAACGAGCACCACCACCACCACGAGCACCACCACGTCAACGAGCATCACCATCATCATAGCCACAAGGAGACCGAGAATCACCACCATCATCACGGCCACGATCATCAGCAGCATCACAAACACGGACACAAGGAGGAGCACAAGCACCACCACGGGCACGAGCACAAGCACGGCCACCACGAGGATCACCATCACGCTCACCAGCAGGATCACCACCATAAACACGGGCACGAGCACAAGCACCACCACCACCAGGATCACAGTCACGAGCACGGGCACGAGCACAAGCACGGCCATCACGAGGAGCATCGTCACGGGCATCACGAGGATCACAAGCACAGCCATCACGAGGACCATCACCACAAGCACGGCCACGAGCACAAGCACGGGCACAAGGAGGAGCATCGTCACGGCCATCACGAGGACCACCACCACTCCCATCACCAGGATCACAAGCATCACCACCACGAGGAGCACAAGCACGGCCACGAGCACGAACACCACCACGATCATCACGAGGGGCACCATCATCACGAGCATCACAAACACCACGCGTCTCACGAGCACAAGCACGGCCATTCCCACGAGGAGCGCCACAAGCATTTCGACGACCATAGCCACGAGCATCGTCACGAGAACGGCCACAAGCACGCGGAACACCATCTCCACTCTGGTTACGTGGAGCGACATCACAAGCAAGGATCGGGCCATTACTTCGACGCCTCGCAGAATCACGAGGAGTACGTGTTTCCGGAGAAGAGCGAGACGGTGGTGGTCGAGGATATCCTTAAAATTAAGAAGGAGGCGGAGGAAGCGGAGAGCACGACCGAGCAAGCTACGACGACGGATGATCGAGCGTGATCGTTCCAACGTAGGAACGCGGGAACGATTCCTTCCGATACTTTGATCGTTTCGCTTCCGAGCGCGTTTCCTGCAAATTGTTTCTCGTCTTAGCCTCCAGTTATATCTTTGTTGACACCTTTACGAAATACAAAGTTTACACGAGTTTATGATTGCCTTGTCCCTTCCATTAAACCTTCCTGGTGACCGGTTTCGACTAGAGAAGGAGGAAGTTCGATGGATACAACTACGCTCCGTTTCTCGTTTTCGAAACTACAATAACGTTTAAACTTCGGTCTCAGGATACTCGAGCCTTCGTCTCCAACTGGATATCTTTCCCATTCCGGGGAGGGGCGAGGGAGGGAGGAAATCACGGGGGAAATAAAGGGAAATAAATCGGTTACGAAAAGCTCGGTGTTAATGAAACGTCCGAAAATTTAACATCTGGCCGACGCAATTGGCCATTACGGTGAATTTTGTAATTGCAAAAAAAAAAAAAAGAAAAAGAAAAAAAGAAAGAAAGAAAACGGGGATATCGGCTTGAGAGACTTTGGAGGCAACGATTGTTCTCGAGGAAGAGTTTCGAACAAACTCCCGTAATCCGGCGAAACAATCCTTCTTCTTCTTCTTCGACGATTCACCGATTTTGAACGACTTACGCCGACAGTTATAATCCAGCCACCACCCAAGTTTGCAACGTCGATCGAGAATCTCGTTGGACCCCCTCCCGAGAGGATGATGGAATTAGCCGTACTCTCGAAAGCGAATTGCCTCGAAAAACGAGGAAAGGCGAGAGGGGCAATCTTCGATTAATTATCCGAGTGAAGTTGAGTTAAGAAAAAGGGGAGGGGGGAGAGTAGAAGGGAAAAAAAAATAAACGAATAAATTAAACGGAAGGACTCGTTAATGGAGAGCTCGGGGACATTTTCGAGAGAAAATCTTGTCGCGCTCTAACTTTCGTTTCCCACTCCTCGTCGACGCGATTAATCTACGTGGATAACAAATAATATTATGCTCCGTTAAACTTTCGGATCTTTCGAATACGCGTTACTACAACAAACGAAAGAGAAACGTCGCGTTCGGTCGACGGATCTTCTCGAATAGTCTCGTTTCAACCATAATATTATCAACTAATTTCCATTGATTGAAGGAAAATATTTCGGGATGTAGAACCGTTTAAATTCTTTCGAAATCGATCCATCCATCCGACGGTAACGAAAATTTAGAATGTAAAAATTTCACTGTCGAAAATAAATTAATAACAAAAGTTCGGGTCGTTTTTATCTTTCTCTCCGGTTAAAATATTCCGGTTCATGGGCGTCGTGTTGTCGTTTCAACCCAACAACTGTAGATGCGGGCAAAGGACACGATAAACGTAGCAACCGCGGAGGAAACGTTTCCACCGGAAACGGTATCGGGTTCGCCGCCGCGCAAAACGTTAATATTTCTAGGCGAGGAGTTTGATCTTGTTTTCGCGACCTCCATCCGGAGACAAAAGGGGAAACTTTGGCGAAAAATTTCGACCCCTCGAGATTACACTCTTCTCATCGATCCCTTCCCCCATCGTGTATATACATTTCGATGGATGATTTTCCCGCCTTTTTCATTTGTTGTAATTTTTTTCGATCTAATTTCGAACCACGTCGAAACGATTGATCGAGCAATCACCGGAGAATACCGGTGAAATAGGTCGGCAACGATTCAACTAGAAAAATTCAAATATCAGTGAAATTTCATTTTGGTTCGTTCGAAGCGGGCGAGGAAAAATTCATCGCCGAGCACTGTTCGATCTTTGAGAAAATTATAAGAGCACGAACGAGAGAATTTCTTTCCCCTCTTTCCCTTTCCTCTCCGAGAAGGGAAGCGTCGCGTAAGAGAGCATCGATTTTTCCAACGAAAATTCGCAAAATTGAGAGAGGGATGTCTGCCGGCGAAATGGGTTAATAAATCGTTGGCCGTGATAGATTTCCGGGAAACGGGGAGAGGGGAAAAGAAAGGGGGAAGAGAGGTGGAGGGGGTTAACCGGAAGAAAAATAAAATAAAAAAAAGAAAGAAGAGGGAAGGGAAGGGAAGGCGCCATGTTGGAAGTTAAATTGGCCGAGCAGGTTTATCAGCATGCATTGGCCGCCACCCGGAAAACGATGCTTCTCTTCCAATTCGAGGTATAGAGACGCCGCGAAAGATAAGCCGAGGAAACCCCTCCCCCCCCCCCTTAGGTTTAGATAGAAGAAATTTCGCGACGAGCAGCGTCGAGTAAATCGTGGCTCGAATGAAGACCGGCGAGGATGATTCGAGCGTCGCGTTGCGTCCGACCGATTCACCGCGTCGAATCTCCACACAGAATTTTTATTCCTTCCCCTCCCACGCTGATCGCGCCATTTCTCCGCCGTTTCTCCCGGCTCGATCGAGTTTCGATATTAAATATCGAAATCGAACGGAATCGCACGCGTCAAAGTCGCATCCTCGTCGTCCTATCAATATCTCCTCCAACGAGCCTCGTTAAAGGTGTGATCGACGCGATCTTCGTTGACCAATCCGTTTAATAGCCAGTTAATAGCGAAACTGTCACGCGCCACGAAACGACGAAAAATCGAGGGTGGAGCGCGCTTTTACCTTTTAAGGGGAAAAGGAAACGTTTCGAAATTCGTCTCTTCGTCTCTTCGTTTCGTGAAAAACAAAAAAAAGAAAAAAAAAAAAAGAAGCGAGTTAATCTAAATCGAGCCCGTTACAAATCGTTTTCCCGTTTCGAAGTTTCGAACCGTTTCGTTAAAGGAGACGCGCTACGTCGATAATTCAACGGACTTCTCCGATTGGACTAAGAGTCTGCCTGTTAAACGGGGCGTGCTTCTTTCCATAGATCCGGTGTTTTGGAACGGAAAACCGGCGGTGTAAGAGACTGTAGTAGACTGTGAAGGAAGGAAGGAAGGAAGGAAGAGAAATGAGGGAGAACGAGGGACTAACGAACCGAGAGGAGCGTCTGTAAGTGGCATTCCAAGCGCGAATTGTTCGACGATTGTTAATCGCGGCTCAGTTTGTCGATCATCGTGGAATACGTTTCGCGTTATATCCTCGAATATAATATTTCGAAAAGTAAATATTCTCGCGATTCGTTTCTCTTTGGAACAGGAACGGATTGCGAGATTCGTTTGTCCCCGAAGTAATTAAAACCCTTTTTTTATTATTATGGGAAAAAACTGTGGCAAGTAAAATTACATCCGTTGGAGGCGTTCACTCCTTGCCGGCTATCTTCGTCGTGGGGAAGAATGACGGTAACCGGACGTTGGGCGAAATCACGGGGGGAGGAAATGCGAAAGGGAGAGGAGACGCGTGGAATTGGAAAAAGGGAAGAGAGAAGAAAAAACTAGTAGAAATACGGAGTGAGAGAGAGAGAGAGAGAGAGAGAGGAGACAGGGATGACCGGTGATACCGTCCAATCTAATTTCAAAGGGTTACGTTCGACGGGATGGCGTACACCACGGCGGAGAATTTTCACCGAACGGAAACAGGATGGAGGAAAAGAGGGAGGAAGAGAGGGACAGTTGGAAAAAGCGAGAGAAATCTATGCCACGAATAGGAACTTACCGGAAGTTCCTCTTTATTCCCTTCCATCCCTTCCTCTCTCCTTCTCTCTCTCTCTCTCTCTCTTGACTTCCCTATCCGTCTAAGCGCTGCGTTTCCGCGAGAGTAAATTCATTTTCAGTTAGGAAAAAGGGGAAAAAAGTGTCTGTCGGCCGGTGATTTGAATTTAAGAGTTCCCTCGTGAAATCGTATTACACGATGCAACCGTAAGGCCTCCCACTCGAGGAAATCGGAAGTAAGCGCCGCTGCACGCGAGGGAAAAAGGGGATGAAAGGGGGCTCGATATACAGGGTATCGTAGCCGCGATAGAAGAATCGAGAATGAGAAGAAACGACGAATCGTTTCGCGGAAAAAAATATATAGACAGAAGAGACGGAAGATATCTGTATTTAGCGGCGAAACGAAGGAACAATGAGCCTCGCGATTCTCTGATCGAATGACGCGAATGCGAAAAGGGGTTCGCGTCCAACGATCGAGCGGTGCTCCTCCTTGGCCGATCTTGGAGTGCGGAGAGAGGCGGAAGTTGCAAAATTAATTTGAGGCAAAAGTTTGGTAGAAAGTGAAGGAAAGCCCGAAGAAAGTTGAGCCGAAGAGGGATGATAGCGAGAAGAGGGAGTCCCGATAGTTGCATAAGAAGAGTGCAAACCAGCCGCTGATGGTCAAGTTTCAAGCGCTTCCTTTTTCCTTCCTCCCTCCCTTCTTTTTCTTCCCTCTCGCGAGTTGATAAGCGATTCACTCGGTAAATACTTTAATTGCATCGAGCACGACGTAAACGACACCGTCGGGTAATATAATATATCGCGGTTTAACGCACGATTAACTCTCCTTCCATCGACATTTGCAATTTTTCCTTATCGATCTTCGTTCTTCCCTTCTTTTCGCTTCGAGAGAACGTTTCTCGAAAACGTTTCAACCAATTTTCCAACCAAGCTTGGAACCGATGTCGGGAGAGTGGTGATCATGAAATCATAACAAATTATAACCTCTCGTTCTGTTGGCAATTTTTTAAATCCTTCCGGATTTCATCCGAAAATTTTTCGCCATTCTTCGAACCGTTGTTCTTGATACGGCACGGTGGCCGATAAATCACGTCGATCTGCATGCATTTGCAAATACCGTGCGCAAGCTACGCTCTTTTTTATCGCTGCTTTATTGAACTAACGACCGGCGCGACCATTAAAGAGAGAGGGGGGACCACGAAGACGCCATTCGCCAGTTTGTCGTTGACCCACCGGCAGCAGCGGGCCACTTATAATAATGAAGTCGATGAAAAAAACCGCAGAACGAGAAGCTCTTCGCCACTTTTAATAGCCGTGCCGATTATAATATATTCCGTGTATTTTAAATTCCACGTTTAAAAAGTCTGCCGGTTGTACGCGGGCAGGCCACGAGAAGGAGGAAAAAAGAAAAAGAAAACGAAAGAAAAAGAAAAGAAGGGGAAA